ACCTATATGTATCAAAGATATGCCCATGTAGGTTATCACAGATAGAACTGAAGGAGTAAGTTAGCAAAATAATTATAGATACATGGAAGATATGAGCTTGGAGGATCTAGGAAATTAATGCATGAAGTAAAAGAATTCTGTCACCTGAGATGTAACATGGTTGCCTGGTTGGATGACCTAAAATACTCACATTAAACATTCTTACTAGATGACCTCTAACTGGAAAAACATAGAACCTGTGAAGTTAACTATGAGATAGTTCACTGGCATGATGGTGATGTTGTGCGCGACGCGGAAGCGTGACAACCAAACAGGCGTGCTTCGAGAACCAAATCAAACAAACATCGAGAGAAAGGCCAAACAAATCAAAACAACGGTACAAATCCAAACACAATAGTTTTACGTGGTTCGACAAATTACCTACGTCCACGGGGCAAGAAGGGGATTGGGTTTTCACTAATAGAGAAGAAAAGTACAAACTGAGATTACAAAACGCTCAAACCAATCAACTAATCTCACCAACAAATCTCTTAATCTCTCCAAATAAACCCTCAAACAATTTCTCAGAAAAACTCTCTTTTTTTGCGCTCTAATATCCCCAAACCAATCTCCAATCCAAGCCCAAGAAACCCTAATTCGTATGTTCGCGGTCGACCACGACGGTCGACCGCGCCAAGTCCAGGCACAAACCCTGGATCCGTGCACGATCGCGGTTGATTCGCCTTGCGCCGCGGTCAACTGCGCAGCTCCCAAATAGACTCCTGCGCTTCCAAAACCTATTCTTTACCAAAATTTATCGCGGTTTCTTCAATTCTCCACCTCGGCAAAGTTTCTTCCAAAACTGAGCCGACACTGATCAAATCAAATGCCTCACTTGCTACGTCTAGTACGTCATGACAACAGACTCATGATAACGTACTCCATCCACAACAAGTCGAGACCCAAATGGGAGTGCGAACACTCACCCAAACGTCGGTATCTACTCACCAAATCGGCTGTATCATAAAGACTACCTATGTATCCTCTTGCCCAAGGAATCAAGCCTTCACGTAGTTCACCCAAACGATCTCCAAAGGCCCTCAAACAAATAGAAAAGTCTGCAACTCTTCACCAATATCATCTGCATCCAAAACCAAATAATTCCCAATCCGTGTCACCTCAGCTGGAATCCCAAACGATGCTGTATGATCTGGAGTATGTGGAGTAAACTCCACCCAACGTGGAGTAGCATCACCCTCCACCTGCTGCGATATCCAAACGACCTGATCAACACTCTCTACCTGCCGAGAGTCTAATATGACATACCTGCTCAGAATAAAATCAGAAGCTCCCAACCGATAATCAAATGGGCCTCCGAATCCTAAACACGCAATCGGATCAAATCTCACATCCTCGATGTGATCAAATGCTGGGTAACTAAATATCTGATGCCAACCAAAATCTGAAGCAGCTCCATCAGATCTAATAACTCCTAATGCAGCAGTCGGCGACCTATGACTAAGATGACCCAAATATGTCGAACCTCCAAAACTAGAACCAATGCTCGACAACCAACGCCAATCCTCCTCCAGAAAGGAATGACCCATCGAAACTGTCATCTCATCTCATCGCCCCAATGTTTCCTCTCTAATGAAGTATCTCAAACTGTCGTGAGCTCGGCACAAATGCAGTAGGTCCCTCTTGTACCTCCCTCTAAAACCAGAATGAAGTACCTTCACCTTACTCCCAATACACTTCTTCAACTGTTGTTGACTACTAGGACTTCAAAGCCAATAGGACTTGGTTGCAACCCACAAATACCTAGTACAATCCCCAACAAAGAAAACCAAAATACTAATTACCTTCCAATGATGCCTCCTTGGAAGGCCCCCAAATGCCTGAATGAACACCAAATAGAAGACCCCTCAATTATCAAATAGAAGTGCCAAACTCCACCTCAGTCTCCTTGCTCATACCAACGTGCTCAAAGGACTTTAATATGCAGGTTAATGGCACTTCTCAATAATCCAATGTACCGTATCAACAAACAAATAACCCAGCCTCAAATCCTTCTATCTCGGCCAACTATCTCAAAGCACCAACAAATGAAAAATAGATCCAAACTGATAAAAGAGAGAATTTTACCTCCAATTGAAACCCTAACAAGAGTCTCCAAACGATCTCACCCCGCACGACGGTAACGAGATCCACAAATAGGAAAAATCCCACCTTTATCTCCAAACGGAGCCCTCAAAGAGCCTCCAAAGCGATCTACTCCTCCAAATAGCCTAAGCGCCAACAAACCAATACGGAACAAACGAAAAATTGATCCAAACTGAAAAAGATAGAATCTTTACAAAAAAAATCCCATATTTCTCACCAAACGAAGCCCTAGACGAATTTCTAAATTGATCTACTCCTCCAACCAAGACAAAACCCTAGATCTGGAATCTAGAGCTCTGCTACCCATTGTTATGCTCTGATACCAATTGTTGTGCGTGACACGGAAGCGTGACAACCAAACGAGCGTGCTTCGAGAACCAAATCAAACAAACATCGAGATAAAGGCCAAACAAATCAAAACAACGGTACAAGTCCAAACACAATAGTTTTATGTGGTTCGACAAATTGCCTACGTCCACGGGGTAAGAAGGAGATTGAGTTTTCACTAATAGAGAAGAAGAGTACAAACTTGAGATTACAAAAGTGAGCTTCCTTGTTTGATTAGAGACCAACAAATCTCTTAATCTCTCCAAATAAACCCTCAAACAATTTCTCAGAAAAACTCTCTTTTTCTGCGCTCTAATATCCCAAACCAATCTCCAATCCAAGCTTAAGAAACCCTAATTCGTATGTTAGAATTTATAGTAAACACCAAACCCAAACTGAACAAGAAACTCAAACTGGGCCCTAACCTGATTGGCGGTCGACCGCCCAAAGCTCACAGTCGACTGTGATCCAGCGACAGAGACCAAAAAGTCCTACAGGATCTCGCGGTCGACCGCGCCAAGTCCAGGTACAAACCCTGGATCCGTGCATGATCGCGGTCGACCGCGCAGCTCCCAAACAGACTCCTGCGTTTCCAAAACATGTTCTTTACCAAAATTTATCACGGTTTCTTCAGGTGATGCACACACTCAAACCAAAATTTATAGCTAAAGTGAAGTTTTCTATGGACAAATATTGAACTCAAATTGAAATTTTAGTCAATGATCAAGTTCTTAGCCCTCTAGGTCACAAAAGGTTTGTATTTGTTGATGGTTGACAATAAGTTCAGAGCCACTCAGAAAGTGGTGACTATCCATCTTATTAAGTGTATCCCATTTCCAACAGTAGTACACATAAGTTACAGTTTTTATGTTTGACCTGATAGTCTTGCTTGTCATTGAATTATCAAGTTTTATACTTTGGTTGTATTCCATAATTAGGACTTCGAAATGTAGGCAACGTTTTCCTTCGAATTATCAATTGCATGTTGCTTGCAATTTTAGAATTTGGTTGCAATGGGATAAATGACAAATTATATTTTAAGTTACTTTAAAAGTCCTCATTGTTATCAATGTTTGTTAGTAAGTCTTGTGTTCTATTAAATTAAAGAGAAAATATCAGTTTTTTGAATATGTTTGACATTAAAGTTTATTTCAATTTCTGTTTTTATTGATGTTTATTGATGTGTATCCAATAAACTCCCTCGCTCCTCCTTCCTCTGAACAAGAAGCTCTGCATCTTCTTCGCCTTTAGCAGTATGATTTGCATGACCTACCTTGCCTCACATTTCAATTATGTTATGAGTTCTATACTGCTTTGGATTTGTTTTTACGGGAGTTTGTATGGCTTTGATTCAAAGTTTCTTCTTTGGATCAATGTCATTTAGTTTATTGTTTGATATATGAGATATTTGAATATGATATTACTTATCTTTGACATTCAATTTCATGCTATTAGTCCTTTTTTTTACTAGATGTGGATTGTGCTACACTTGAGGTATGTCATGAATGAATTTATTTGAGAATATTGAACTAATAGTTATATGACACCAATATATAAGCATGTTCGCATGAGAACTTGACAGTTATATGGCACCAATATATAACCATGTTCATATGAGAACGTATGCATTCTGCAGTTGCTTTATTGTATAAAAATATTTATTTTGGTAACATATTCAATATTTGCAGAAAATCTTTTAGAAACCGTGCTTTGCATGGGTATAAATACTAGTACAATATAATTGCTCCAGGCAAGTGAGTTATAATAGTATTTTCCATTCACATTGTTTGGGATAATATTTAATAGGGACCTTGCATCAAAGAAATTTTTTATATTTAAAGTACATGGCAAAATATATCATAATCTCCTTGCTCTAATTACGTAAGAAAATAATTCTTCATACATTCAGTTTTACTTCTCTGGTACGGAGAATGAGCTATAAAATTGAATAAGAATATTAGATAATGTAAATAGGAGTGAAACTACAACTAAAAGTTAATGTGAATATGATTCAAACCACAACTAAAAGTTTAATGGACATATTGCAAGTAAATTCATATGTAAAATTCATTTGCAAATTGAATGATCACTCATCTTTTAAAGATTTTAAGATACTAATAAACTCATCTTTTAAATATTTTAAGATACTAATAAACAAAGATATAGTACTAGACCAATGTGTTTATAACTCACAAATAGTAGATCACGTGGCGATAGTTTGGGTTAAAGGAAACAATGACAATATTTCATTTGAAGAGATTATTGTGTTGATGATCAATCCCGCAAAAAAACTTTATTTTCTTTTTTTATTCTATTTTATCAATCCACGTGCATTACACGTGCAATCCAACTAGTAGAGTATAAAATTATCTTTCGGCCCTCACTATAACTTTGTAATTTCGATGTAGAAAGATTTTAAATGGTATTGGATGAACCATATCCAGATTCAAATTGCATTCGACATACACTTAAAAACGATTTTAAAAAAAAATACTGCTAACGATATGACAGGATCACTGGAATTTTCCACGAAGAGTGCAAGTCTATTCTTTCACTTGTACATATTTCTTGTACAGGAAATACTATATCCTTTTTGTACTTTCAATTTTTTGTGTCCTGTGTTTCTATCAAGAGCTTTTATACATGAGCACAGGGGAAAAAAGTAACAGGAGCTAAGGAAAAAAGAAAGATAGTATTGACAAGAAAATGCACAAATTCTCTAATAACAAATTGAAACAATCAAAAATAACTAGATTGCATCTGCAAGAGATCAAGATGAGCAAGAATCTTCGCAATCATCGGTTTCAGACTCGGATCTCCCTTCTGTGCAAGATCAATAAGCAGTAGCTGCGCACGTGCACCATGCTTCTCTCTATAACTATCACTTCTGAAAATTCTCTCCAGCATCCAAACTGCCTTCTCCTGAGCTTTCAAGCTCCCAATATCAAGAATCCTTATAATGGTCTGAACCCCCGATGAGTTTTCGATAAGTTTACTCCCATTTTCCCATATTTCGTCTTGCATCAATGTAGACAAAGCATTAAGAACAGCTTCATCTGCTTCTCTCTCCTTACCTTCCAAAATTCTTATCAAAGGCGACACTGCACCGGCCTTTACTATACAGAAAGTGTTCTTGATTATACAATGTCCGTTATGGAGCTCGCAGAATGATTCAGATGAGTTAATGACACAAAACCATCTTGAGGATTTATTCTTGCATAATGAGAGAGAGTTTTGCGACAATTGAGCCAATGAAGATGCTGCTCTAGACTTGGCAATTGCTGAACCATCTGATAGTAATTTTACAAGGCAAGGAATCACTCCATGAGATGCTGAAATTTTCTGCAGCTTTTTGTCCCAGGGGACTGTGAACCTGATCAATACACCAGCAATGCTTTCAATCAGCCAAGTCCTTGTTGTAGTTGGAGCTATGGTGCTGTTAGTCTCTATCAAAGAGACTAGAAGTGGAATCAAATTTGCTTTTATGAGAATTTCAGTTGCTTTCTTTTCATTTATCAGCAGATTACTTAGTATAGCTAAAGCAGCGGCCTTCTCATTCTCTGATACAGTTGTGCGTATGATATCGACCAAAATATTAAGATGGTTTTCTCCGAGGAAATCAGTTAACTCTTCTGTAAAATCTTCTGATAAATTAAAGAGTAAATTCAATGCGACAGTCCTCAGTTCAGGACTACTCTCGATTAGGAAAGGAAAGAGAAGCTGAATTGCTCCATTTTCATTCATTTTAGCTCTGACTCTCTTAGATTTAGAGTGACTGGCAATGCTATTGAGAGCGTTCAACAAGTGAAGCTGGATAATTGGGCTTGATAGATTTAGAAGCGAGAGTATCTGATGAGCTGCATCTTTGTGAATAAGTATTAGTTCAGATTTCGCTAAACTTGCAAGAATGGCAGAAGCCGGTTCACGAAGAGTGAGGAGGACTGAAGTAACTGAGAATAGAAGTTGAAGTAAAGGAGGTACAATTCCTGCATCTATCAGGAATCTGACATTTTGTATTAAGCTTGAGAGATTGAGTATTGCACCTAAAGATGACATCTTGGCTTCGAGTTTTCCAGATGTGAACATTTTGACTAGGGGCTCAATGCAGCCTAGTTCTCCGAGGATTGATCTCATTTGGTCTGTGAGCTCCATTCTTGAGATTGCTGTTGCCATAATAATCTTGTTCATATGAGAACCTGCACATGTGTGAACCAAAATTCATTCACATATTAGGAATGTGAGTGTAGTTTTTGGCATTCTAATTTTTAAGTCATGAACAGATGAAAGAAATAGTTGGTCTGTAGATCTTATGTTCAGCACTAACATTGACATTCTACAAACAACTCAGTAATCTTTTTTACAATAAGTTTCAGATACGCAGGGTCCTCGGCTTTATTGACTTGAGAAGGGCAATTCTTGTTGTATCTTAAACAAACAAATAAATAAATAAAGACATCTGATTAAAATTTAAATTGAGTAATTTAAACTGTCCTTCAAGCAAGAACACTGTTCAAAGTGGCTAATTTAGAAACTCATTGTGCATTCAGAATCTCTGAACATAAGGCAAATAAATAAACAACCAAATATCAGAATTATGTCAATATTATTAAGGAAACCTATATGACAGTGAAATTCATAGAAGTTTTTTTTTTGCTATCTTTTCTTAACAAGGGAAAGATAAAACATTATGAGTTACATTAGCACAACATAACTGTGACAGAAACATCAAAATCCAAAATATAACTTGAAGGTTTTCTTAGATTACCTTCCTTCAGGTATTGAACCAATGGTATAAAGTAACCAGCCTCCGCCATTAGTAGTACATTCTGCGTGTTGCTAGACAAAGCCATCAGTATCATCCCTGCATCATGGGAAGCTCGACAGTCATCTCCGTTAAAAAGAGTGACGAGCATCACAATGCATCCTTGCACTCTTCCAATCCTTTGTCGAACCTTTTGAGTGACTGATAAATCCCTAAGCAGCCCTACTGCTTCCCTACTCTCTTCAATATCCCGTGTCAGTGAGCGAACAATTGTAGACAAAGTCTCAATACCTGCCATCTTCTCCTATACAACAATGCAAAATACACAACACAAATTTAGGGAGAGATACATTGAAGTGATCAAGCCTGAATCGGGTAAATTTCACAAAACTCCCTGAAGTTTGGCGGGTTTGGTGAAATTTACCCTTCTGAATTTTTACCATCTTAAATTCAAAATGCTACCTTGTTCTCATCATTTTGACAAGCAAGGCTCCTCAATAGCAAGATGATCTTCAACCTTTCACCATTCTTACCACACCCTAGACGATTCAACAGAACCGAAATCACCCTCCCGTTCTCCTCCTCGTCCACCAATCCTTTCCTAATCAAAACCCCGAGCTCCAAATATGCCATCATGGTATCAACCTCTTCCCCTCCTCTCTTCACTCTCACCATCAAATCCTCAATATCACGAACCACACCATCATCCTCTGCAATCTCCATCTCCTCCTCAAACCTTGTCGCCATCATTTCCTTCTGAAGCATCCCCATCCCCTCTCTAATCTCACACGGTGCATCAATCCAAGCCATGAGCAATAGCCCAAGGCACCTCCCGAGATCATGAACACAATTCTCCATCGATTTGGCAGATATAGGGGGCCCATTGCAGTTCTTGATTAGAACTTGTGTGCGCCTGAGCTGCGAGTGGAGAGACTCGACAGCCCTCTTGATTGAGACTATGTCAGGATCGGCGTTTTGGTGCAATTCTTGAATGATCGGCTTCATCCGTTCGATGAAGGAGGCAAAGGGTGGGAGGGCAAGATTCAAGGTCTCGGAGAAGGAAGAGGATGAAGAGACTGAGAGAGTTTCGTCGATGGAGGAGATTATGCCCGAGAGGAGATACGGCAAGGACTCGGGCATGGTTGGAGATTAGTTCAGATCGAAAAAGGAGGAGATTTTGAGAGAAATTAATAGAAAGAGAGGACGGAGGACGGCAATGGAGTCAATTAAAGACTTGAAGAATGCATTGGAAAAAGAGAGGAGAAACGGTCAAATGGGAGAGTTGAGGTGAAGAGAACAAAGAGTGGGAGTGAAAGTGAGAGGAATAACGCGGGAATGGTCAAGTTTGTAATTTAGTTAGTGTTTTTTTTGGTAAGTGGGATATAATTAAGGGGACAGTGATGGAAGAGTTGGTTGTTTGTACATCGATGGGATGATGGTAATGTTTGGGGTCGATTCTGTTGGAGAGAGGGATAGGCTGCCGTTTCTCCGTGTTCTCTGATGAAGCCATTACTTTATTTAAGATTGTAATCTTGATCTCTTACGCATTTATTTAAGGGTTAATTGCGGATCTATAGTTCTATTTCTGTGTATAGACCCTCAGAATGAATTTTTTTGACTCTTCAGAAAAGTTCATTCAGGGGTTCCATCTGCAACATTAGAACTATAGCGGATCCATCTGCAATTAGGCTGTCGTACCGAGGGGTCTATCCATAAATTAACCCTTTATTTTAATCTTGATCAGTCTAATTTGGCCTCAGGGCTAGCTAAGCTTGTTGCATCCAATACAGGGCATCTTACCTTGTAAGTCAAGCCAATTTATTAACTTTAGAAGTGGACTTCCAGTGCTCATTTCCATATCTATGCGTTTGCTCCTTAATTTTCCCCAGTTCATTGACCCAGCCTTCATTCTCTACCCAAATTCCCTCTCTCAAACGTCACCTTCTATTTGCATTTAATTCAAGTTTCAACCCCAATCACATCACATCTCCTATCATTCAACAAGGATTCAAACCAAAAAAATCACTGCAATACTGAACATGTTAACACATCAACACCAGAATTACCTACTAAAATCTTTGAAGAGGAAGTTACATCGGCATAACAGATAACTTCACAGGAACACGAGTTTGGTCTTCAGAGGGCACTTGTATATGTACAAAGTTTGAAGAGAAAACAGTAGCTACATTATCTAATTAATCCTAGAAGGTATTGTAGGGATGGTGTTCTGAAGATAGGCAGCANGCCGCTCCACTCCCAAGTTTAACAGGGCAACCTACATCCTTCAGTATCATCTCCACCCCACTTAGACAACCCAATAGTTGCAGCTGCACAACATAAAAATATTTAAGGTCAGATAACTCGATTTTATAAAATGTTGTTATGTCCTACTCTCCTTCATTTTTATTCCATGTGCTTCAGATGTTCATTTTGACCCCAAAAAATTTAGCACTTATTTGTTGGCCGAGGTTGTTTTATTAATGAACCAAATTAATGATTCTTCGACACCAGTCGTATGTGGTTGTCTCGCATGTATGCTTTTAGCGCATAACCTAATAGCTTAAGCTTATTGGCGAAAGTTGTTACGTAACATGGTACTCGAGCTAAAACTTATTACAGTTAACTTGAAGTTCTACTGTAAATCCTTTGGTCAAAATCATTCAACATATCCAAAGAAGCTTCATGTTGATGACACGGCCGTTGTATGAGCTTGTTTCGTTTCAATCAAACACGCCCTTGATACTTCTGAGATCGGAAAAGTTGCTGAGAGAAATGCGTTTTAGCAGGACTAATCTCTAAGACGGCCTTTTACATAATAGTGAAAGTACGTCTATTGAGCTGAGGATTCAATACAGCATCTCACTCATTGAAGTAATTGCACAAATTAAGCAAGATAGTGGAGATCCAACAGAGATACTTGCTCTGACACTATTGAGTATTTAGATGGTACAAAAAGTTATTAAAATGATCTATATGAGATATGCAACAACTTGAGACGTAGACAACTCAACTAAAAATTCATCTTTCCTATCTGGGGAGAGGCTGAGGGTTTATCCAATTTATAAATTACAAAAAAAAAATGTCAATTAATAAATTATACTCCCAGTTATACTTTTGCACAACCAGTTTGGTATCAATTTCAACTATGGGCATGTGCATATCTATCTGTGTGTTTGTGTGTCTATGAGTGCACATATATGGATATAATCGATGCACTCAAGAGGACAAACCATACCTCATTCAAGTTTATAAATTAGAGAAAACCCATGAACTTTCAAAACTACCATGAACGATTAAATATTTTCATAAATGGTGTCAACACGAATATTAAAAGGTCTAAACTACCCTTGAAAATAGGAGAGAGGAAAAGGGTAATATAGTAGACATATTAAGTACAGTTAAGCTTTTTCCAAAACACATCACGTGTAAGGCATATAATTACTTAAACTAACTGTCATCAGTCATGTATTTTAGTGAAAAATGTTCATAGGGGGTTTAATCTAACTTATAAATTTTCGGGTGGTTTCGTGCAAACCCTCAAAAGTTTTGGAAAAGTCTTTTGAAATTGAAAATACCCCGGGCCTAATATAATTTTCAAAACGTAAATGAAGTTTTTGAAGTGGATAGACCTTGTGGCTTTCCCCAAACGGCTATGCCTTGCAATCACATTATCGAGGCCTTCTCCAAATACAATACCCAAGGCTGCTCTATCTAAGCCCATACAGCAGTTGGATTGAAGAAGTGTAGGGCCAGTAAGTTCCCATTTCATAGAACTTCAAGTAGTCATTGCAGTCGAGAAAACCCTTAACTGATTTAGCTTCTTTTCATGCTTCCAAGGCTTTTTGGACTAGCACAAACAATACCCATACCAGTAGGTAAAGAAAGAGCTTTTTGTGAGCCCATTAAACTACAATCAACACCCCAATTCATCCAAACGAGAATCAAGAGCACATATAGATGAGACTCCATCAACAAGTAACAGTGCATGATGGCTATAACTATCTGCATTCCAAATGATATAGAAAGCATGATAATTTCCTTTGCTAATATTAACAAGTACACAAATGAGCTACAAATATGGTACTAGGGGTAAAAACATATTTCCCTCAGATATTAGATAGAACGATTGGACCAACTTAAGAATGTAGTCAAAGGAAATGGTAGATGTTTTATGATAATAAACTTGAGGTGATGAAAAACAAAGTGATGGCACACAAGCAGGTACGGAGGAAGCCTGGAGAGCTTTGCTAATCTTTTTGCAACATAAAAGTTACATTATAAACAAGGAGTTAAGGTATAACTTGGTCCAAGAAAAGGCATACGTGAAGAAGTTAGTTATAGTAGTAACTAGTACGTTATAGGCTATTTAGCATATCCTATGTATACACCCTCAACACTTCTTCAATTATCAAAAGAGAGAAGCTTGTGTAGTATTTCTGAGTTCGAATTATAAGATTATGCTGTAAATCATATGAGTGGAATTACCTTAAACTTTTAATAATAGAAAAATAAAAAAAGAAAAAGAATAAATGAGTCAAATAGTGTGTGTATGTGTGTGTCTCTATATAGATATCATTTCATCGTCGATCCTTTAAGCACATATAAGACTTATTTTAACGCCCCTAGAGAGAATTTCCCAGAAAATCACCTGCCCTGAAATTTTTTCAATTGGAGCACACTTAACTATGGAATTCTTCTCATAAATAACTAGGAACAATTAATTCCTGAGTTCACAAAAATTATTATGTACTAGAAGACCTTCTTCATTAAACTAATCACATCTAGGAAAATGTTAGATAGTGTGGGATGATTCACTTGATCACTAGATGTTTACAAACACTGCACATTCAGAGTATGACATTCTATCATCGTACTAACATATCACCCAGCTAAGTGAGACTCATCTATATGGATTCTAGATGTAGCTTCCACATACTCAAGAGGTGATCCACCACATCTCCACGTAGTACGGCAATTTACTCCATATAACACCTAGTTTTCATGTCAGACTTAGTTCCACACACTTCTCGTATCTCAAATCCTGGGTACGAAGCTTTCTAGGAGTCTATGTAGAACAAGCACTTCCGTTCTGAAGTTGGCATGTGTAGAACACACTGAAATCCATGTTGGATATCAATACTTTCTTGAGCATTCTTTGATACGTGTAGGACACTTCTCAAACATCTCTCAATTATGTAATATGTGTTTCAATTAACAACTTGGTGGACAATTCTTGGATAAATGTTATTTCTTTAACAAAATAACATGTTTGAGAAAGTAAATTACTTCTACTAAAATATTGTTGAATAATACTATGACCACTTCAGATATCTAGCTATTGGATAAAAGTTGAGAAACAAGGTTTTAACTTCTGTAAAATCATAAAACTGTGTTAGATTAGCACTTTAGCATGTACTTGACCATTATATTTTATATTATTGTAAAATATTGTCTAAAAATTTAGCTCCACGGACATGTCTTTGTGTTAACGCATACATGAATTCTCTAATATGAATACATATTCTCATGAGATGTTTCAAGTCCTATTTTGTAAAAATGGCAGTGTCTCAAATCTATATCCATGTCGTACTTGTGTCTCGTGTACATGGCCAGCATACATGCCTGTGCTTCTTAGTCAGGACATTCCCCATCCTAAAAGTCGGAACATGCTTAATACATGGTTCTTTTTCACAGTTCCACTCTCAAAGGTGCTAGCTCAGGTTAATTCTTATGTTCATTTAAATTATTATATACCAGCGAACCTTCTAACATTTGTCCCGTGTTGGACAATTCACATCTATGGGGTATTACCAGGACTATTTGTTCCACTTGCACAAGCTCCAAAAATATAAAAGTATTCCTTGAATTTTGTTGAAAGTTTTCTTCTAATACTTATTAAATCATCATCTAGTGTTATCTATAAACAAAAGTATTTACTTCTTAATAATTTAAACAGGGACATTTTTATGTCCCAAAGTCAAATGTACAAGTTAAATAGCAACACAAAATGTGGCCTCTACTCACAGCTAAGAAAATATTATCACATAAGATTTCTCCATTTCACTTGAAAATCATAAATACATTCTTCTCCCTTCAGAATTACTTCAGTGTAAGCATAGAAGTATTACTTGAAGTAGTAAGGACAGCTGGCTCAACTAAAGCATCAAGATCACACCAAGTTTACCGCATCCAATTATTTGGATCAGTCATGTACTGTAGACATGACGAACTAAGAGTTCCAAAAGTATGAAAGTAGCTTTTCATACAAAAATGCACCGACATGAACTACAAATTGGAGGTGACATTAGGAAAAAATAGCACGTATAGAGCTTACCAAGTAATTTCCTTACAGTTTCCAAGCAATTGGTGACTCCTGTTGCGGTTTCATTATGAACGATGCAAATAGCCTTGATAGTATGAGTCCGATCTTGTGCCCGTTTTGATGCCAAGATGTTGAGATTTGCACCCTGTCCCCAATCACTCCCAATGACATCCACATCAAACTTCAGTCATTGTTGTTGGTCATTCCATAGAAGACTAAATTGGCCGATGAGAAATGATATGATCCTGTCCCCCAGTGAAACTGTTTGTCAATGCGCTTTCCCATGCTCCAGTACCTAGCACAAGATAATACCACTTTCCAGAAGCATTATGCGCAATGCAGGAAGCAAAACATT